CTCTCTCCCTCCCTCCCCCTTGGAGCGGCTGCTGGTTTCAAACTGCTAACCTTGTCGTTAGCCACTCAAGGGCTACCACTACACCACCGGGGTTCCTCGGGGCAACTCCTGCTTGGCCTTTAAGGCTATGGAAATTTGTCCTCACTTTGAAAGAACCAGCCCAGCCCTACTTCATCACAGTCACCTTCACCTGCTGCACCTGCAGCTTGTAAATCATCGAAAAGGGCTCCAGCCTTTTGCAGTAACTCAACGCTAACAGGGAACTGCGCACCTGTTCCAGCTCGCAGGTTCCACTTGCACAGAAGTGGATCTCTGTCGTGACTCGGACTGTGCGCAGCAGCAGAGCGTCGCTGGCTCCTTGGGATGGGGGAAAATAAACCAGAGCAGAAAATTAACTCTGCAGAAAAAATTTTAAAAATCCTAATGCTTCTTGTAAAAAATGCATTGTCGTAATAACTGAAAACTTACAAAGTAACATTTTTTTATTCTGCCCTTAAATATTTTTCATCGTGTTTTTATGCTGCTTTATCTTTTCTAGCATAAACGTCATGAAACAGCTCATTGGTTCATCTAATTTATTTGTGATGCAAGTAGAAATGGATGTATACACAGCTCTTAAAAAGGTACTGACGAAATGTGATTTATATTATGAGCAACCATTAATTAGCATTTTTCATCTGGGAAACAAGTGGTGTCCATCCAGTGAGCGATGGGGGGAGGGTCCCAAAGATGAGAACAATGAAAAGAAATGCGCCATAATGCTAACAAGTCCTTACCTCTCTAGGGCTCAGGATGGAGAATCATGAATGATTTTAGTTTTGTTCTCTATGCTTTTCTATCCTAGGAATGCTTGTCTGTTGTTTCCAAGACGTGTTGTTGCTTGTGTAATCGGAAATGTTTTGTGTAGCTAGTACGGTGTCTTGCTGGCACTGGGGTAAGGCGCTTGGCCACCAACCAGACAGCAGCAGCTCCACTTGCCTAAAGCTGACCACCACGGGGAAACATGGAAACCAACGTGCAGGACAGTTCTGCTCGGGCCTGTGGGGTAGCTTCGAGTTGGCATCCACTTGATGGCTTTTCAGAAAGGTCTTCAAAGTTGCATTTTTGCAGCATCCAGGATTTTGTGATAAAATGTCCATGCATGCCGTTTCTAGAAAAGAAACGCATTCTTGTTTTGAAGTCCACATTTGCCCTTCAGGCAGATGTTTCCCTTCACCCTTTTGAAAGATCGCACATTTCTTAATCTAAACTGACTTTTCACCCCTCTCTGGAGAGACCCCCCAAACCAGACACACTCCCATCGAGTCAGTTCTGACCCATGAAGACCCTTGACAGAGTTTTTGAGACTACCTTTTGACAGAAGCAGACACCACCTAGCCTTTCTCTTACGCAGCACCTGGTGGGTTTGAACCACCAGCCTGGTGGTTAGCAGCTCATCACTTAACTCACTATGCCACCAGGGCTCCTTCAGTAGTGTAAAACTAATGAAAATGTATATAACTACCTTGTGGTGTGGGTGTTTGATGCCATCAGTGCTTTTCAGGGATTGGCGCATTCCTTACCAAACACTCATGAAGATTTTATCATTAGACCATGGTTGGTACCAGGATGAATTTAAAGCCAGATAATGTACATTCTTTCCATTACTTAGAAAATGGATATTCCTGTCTCTCAGGTATTTTAAGGTGGAAACAATTTGAAAATGTAAAAGCAAAACGAGGGAGTCCTGTAATCTTTTTCATCCGTTCACTTATTTCTGTTTAACCTAGTGGGTGTTTCTTCAACTTGTGCCTTCCTGGACTGGGTCTTTAAAACAGCTTCTGGCTGAAACAGATGTCTGGTTCTCTAAGTGGAGGAAAGGTAAGCTTTGAATTTGTAGTAAGAACCTTTTTCTTTTTTAAATGAATATATTAAACCCAGAACCTGACTTAAACCCTTAGAGAATATCCGAGCTAGAGAGAATTATTCGGCACCTGACTTACACCGAGACAGTAGTGGTCAGATAACCAGAGCCTCGGCTAGTACTGGTCCTCCTGGAACTGAGACTCTGATTCTAGGCGATTTTCCTCTTTTATCACCAGCACCAACTGGCGATTGCCTTTGTCCTTTATATTTTTATTGGGGCTCTTACATCTCTTATCAAATCCATACATTCCTCCAGTGTGTCGAGCACATTTGCACGTATGCCGCCATCATCATTTTCAAAGGATCCTCTTCCCACTTGAGCCCCTGATATCCGCTCCCCATTTGCATTTGCCTTTCGTTTGACTGCACTGCATTTTCCCTCAGAAGGGCTCCCTCAGATCCAGCAACATGGAGGCCCCTGGACAGATTCTGATGCGTAGTAACCCCCTGACAGTGGATGAAAGTCTATTATTTTCTCAGAGGGAAGCTTCCATCCTTCCATCAGGTTCCCACTGGAGACTGATCTGAAGTGGGTTCGGATCAAGTGCTGTAAGATTTGATGTGGGCAGAGGGCGAGAGGACAGTGTAGTTTTACTTGTCTTTCTTCCCACGCTGCATTTTAACATCGAGTCCGTAGAGGAACTAGCGTCCCTCTCTGGAAAACAGGTGAGAGGACTCTTGAGATTCAGTCAGCCTTAAGTGATGCTTTGGGGCTCTACAGTTCCACTGGGCATTCCAAAATCTCCAGGAGAGGGATTCTGGAGAGAGACACCCGCCTGTAGCCACTATCATCCGCAAGCCTGCCTTTCCCATCCTGCTCACTAAGCGCCAGCCCTGCAGAAGGAATTGCCCATGCAGCAGTCCCGTGTGGCCAAAGAGCATTTCCTAGGGCTTTTCCCTAAATCGTCCTCAGCTTTTATCCACAAACTTAAGGTTTATAAAATCCTTAAAAAATGTTAAAACCAGCTTATTAGCAGTCTTCTAAATAGACTTTGTGGGTATATATGTATATCCATAAATATATTCAAGGATAAAAGAATGACGTTTTAATTGAAATTTCTTTTTTTTTTTTCTGGGTAGAGTTTGAAGGGATGGCCTTCCTTGAAACTGAGCAAGGGAAACCATTTGTGTCTGTATTTAGACACTTACGGTTACAGTATATAATTAGTGATCTGGCCTCCGCCAGAATCATCGAACAGGATTCTCTAGTACCTTCAGGTAAGAGAACACGAAGGTGTGCTTGTGATATAAGTATCTTTATTATTTCACTCAACGTAAAAATTAATCCATCTGGTTTTTTTTTCTGACTTGAAATGTCAGTAGAGGACTGTCATTGTAGAATACTGTGCCGGCGGATATAAATATATAAATAGGTTTAACTTCATGTCCAAGTAAAAGCTATAATTTTAAGTGACAACAACAACAAAATCTCACTACCATCAAGTCAATTCCAACATATAGCCACGTGCAGGACAGCGTAGAACGGCCCCTGTGGGTCTCCAAGGCCATGGGTCTTTACAGGCGCAGAAAGCCTCATTTTCCTCTCACAGGGCGGCTAGCAGTCTTGACTGCTGACGTGTGGTTGGCAGCCCCACGCAGAACCACGGCTTTACCAGAGCGCCTTCCAGACGTGGTGTTTGAGACTATGTTGGTGTGACTCTTGTATCCCACTTTTATGAATGAATCCTGAAAAGTCATATTCTCTCTAGATCAGCGAGTTTCAAAACTGTGGCTATTACACAGTAATAAGTTAAAAATCACTGTAATGTATGGAGATCAGATTTGTGAAGGAAAACACACAAATTTAATTTGATGATATTTTTAAAGGTAAAATGCAGCCGAACAAAACTTTTGAAAACCAAAATAAGTTGTGTGTGTGTGTGTGTGTGTGTGTGCATACACACACATACATACACTGGTAGAATTCAAATAATGTTACAACCCGTTCGCTGCCCTAAGGACCATTTTTAAGTATAACACAGAAAGGTCATGTGTTTTTCATACACGCAGTGCTTGAAGAAGACCAATAAAAGAGGTGCACGTTAAAAGAATAAGGAGTGTGAATTTGTGTTCCCACACTGGGCGGCCGCCCACCATAAAGAGAACCCTGATTGCAAGTGCCATTTTCAAAACAAGTTCGCTGAACTCAACAAAAACATTAAGTATAGGTTCTGCCAAACCAGCGTGAACCGGCTGTATCCCAGCGCTGCGTGCGTGCGTGTGTGCGTGTGTGTATACTGTATCATGATGTAAAACATGCTACTAATCTTTACCTACTGAAGATAGACTGCCTTGTGACCTAGACGTTTGGCAGTTATTCTTTGTAATTAAAAAGAACGTAGTATTTGGGGGACTCTGAAAAAAAAACATTCAAACGTTATTTTTTAAAGGGTTTTAAGAAAAGACACCAATCAATTAATCTAAGTCACCTAGATAACCTTTATTAAGTAGAAACTTGTGAAGTGGAAATCCAGAGTTTCAGGGTTTCCCCTCCTGTAGGTAGAAATAGATAAGTACCGTGGAGAAATCATTTAAGAACTTTAGAATAGAGAAACTGCTGTTTCTGGTTGGGAAAAATAAGAGCAAAATAAATTAGACCTACGGTAACTGGGGAAAGTCACTTATCCTACTTTTATTTTTAATAAAGCTGTTTTTTTACCTAAAATGACTAAAATTGCAGTTTGCACAGATTTATAGAGGGAAAATGTATGCCTATCACTAAAGGGAAACTGTCTTTACTGTATCATTTATTTCATTTAGAAGATTTTAAATTAAAACTACTTTATAATAATTGTTATCAATATCTAATATGTATCAATGATTTCGTAAGTGTATACTATTTCCTGCAAATTTACAGGTGATTTTATTTCCCAGAACAAATTAGTGTTACGACAGTAACAACCCCTTAATCCATTCATCTGGTAAAACTCTCTTAAAAACTGAAAATAGTGCTTCAGATGTGTTTTCACAAATGAAAACTAACTTCAACTGTGAGAAAGGAACTATTAAATGCAAGAATATAATTGTAACTAATGGCTTAGTGCATGTAATCTAAAATGCAGTGTAAGGCAAAGCAAGATTGCTTTTAAACTATTGTGGTAAAAAATGTATATACGTATGTCATATATATGACAGAAACTTGTCATGTCCACCATATTCACCATGTGGTGCCACCATCACCACTCTCCATTCCCACAGAAACACAGTGCCCTTTAACTCTCTGTTCCTCCCCCCACCTGCCTTTAACCCCTGGTCACCCCTAGTAAATCATGGCCTTTGTGCATTAAGAAAAGATAACTGTTATCGCTTAAAAAAAATCATTAAGTCATGTTGTTATATTCATAAAATAGAAGGGACTTGCTTCAGTTATGGCTATGTTAAGTTTGAGTTTTAAAATGGGTACAGTTTTACCAGGTTCTTTAAATGTTTAGATCCTGTACACTGGACATTAATTTTTTTATTGTTGTTGTTGAATTGTAGAATGGCTGTCTTGTGTGTATAAGCAGCAGTGGCTTGCTATGCTCCGGGCAGAGCAAGACTGTGAGGTGGGGTAAGTGTTTTATAGCCTATATTGTTTATTGTAAACAAGCCTTTTGTTAGGATTCCTTGAAATGCATTTATTATATTTTAAAAAACAGCAGCAATATTGAACACTCAAAAGCAATTGAAGTAGAGAAATGATCATGCAATAAACTTTTTAAATCTTCTATTTTTCTAACATTATCAATCTTAAAAATGGGCTGTCATTTACTGTATTCATAAAATTGAGTTCATACACTATTTTACCTACTAGTAGGACTTTCTTTCAACGTATTTAAATATTACTTGTAACATAATTTTGTAAAGGTTAAAGTTAATTTCTTATTTGTAGTAATATTCTCAAATTCCAATTAATGTTAAAAGTAGATTTTGAAGATCTTTACATCTGAAATGAGTTAAAATCATCTGACTGCAGATGACTTCCCCAAAGTATATGAAAACCAGACCAACCCTATCCATGGGAACGAGAAACAAACGGTGAATGTGATGAATGTATTTCATCACACCAAAACACCACACCAAAACACACACACCACACACACACACACACACATTCGGCTGTGGAGTCCATTCTGACTCATGGGGACAATATAAGACTTCAAAGGCTGCAAATGTTTGGGGAAAACAGACTGCTCCAGCCACTGGTGGATTTGAACCGGTGACCTTGCAGTTAGCCACCCAACAGCACCACAGGGTTTTTTTTCATTTCATCCACTATTTCCAAAATGTTACTTCCATGTTGTTGCCGGGTGCCAGAGAGCTGATTCCAACTCCGAGTAGAACTGCCTCTCCGGTAGGGTTTCTGAGCCTGTGCCCATTCCTGGGCTGACTGCCTCATCTTTGCCTTTTGAGTAGCCGACATACGTTAACCATTGCATTGCCAGAACTCCTCTTCCAGTGGTCCATTTATCAATATAAACTTTTGGGAACCCAAACAAACAGACTGAATGCATTGCCATCCAGCAGAGTCTGCCCCCTAGTGACCCTATAGGACAGAGCAGAGCCCCGCCCCATAGGGTTTGCAAGGCTGCAGTCTCTGCAGAGGCAGGCTACCTGCTGTGTCTCTCCAGGTGGGATGAGGACTGGTGGGTGTAACCGCTGAGCCCTTAGCCACACCACTGCCGGAACGCCCCAGTAGTGCCTGACCCCTCAACTCATTTTAAGCGAAAGAACATTATCTTGTCTTTCCGTTTATAAAATGCAGACACTTGGCAGTTTATAAACTTCGCAACTTACGGAGGTGCTTCCTCGTTTATCTGATCCTTGGAATAGCTCTTGCTCCGTGAAATGGGCAGGGTGGAGAGACAAAGCCAGCTATGAGTCTGTGCAAGGAGCTCTCCAGGACGACAGACGCGGTGCCGCGGCGTCGGTTCTGATCCCGAGCGACCCTGTAGCACGATGTAGAGTTAGTTGCCCTGGGTGTGGAGGAGGCTGTGACATGGGAGTAGAAAGCCTCATCTCTCTCCCATGGGGTGGCTGTGGTTTCAAACTGCTAACTTGGGGGCCCACAGTTCAGTGTGTAACCCACCAAGGTTAATTTCTTTGCCTTCAATCTTTTTAAACCCCTCTTTAGTCACCAAAGGAAGTACTTCCAGCTGCAGTGGCTCAGTGTTAAGGTTATATCTGAGCTGTGAATGTGTGATGATGATGATGATGATGATGAAACCACTATTATTCAGGGGTCTTGATTTCTGCCTTATTTATATTTATATCCCATCCACTTCTGAAAAGGGTTCATAGCATCCAGGTTCAGCCTAAGTACTGCAAGAATAATCTAATAATAAAGCAAAAATCAGAACCGTTTCGTGGAATTCAGATTTGACGTATTTTGTAACTCATCCAAATTGACTACTTTTTCTATTCCATTCTTTAAATGCTGGGTGTTCGGTATTCGAGATTTTTCTCCCCTATCAAGGCTAATATTTGCATTGAGTTTAATAAGAAAGTGAGCTAGAATTTCGTTTGGCTGCTCTCTTGCCCTCCGAAGTCTGTGGTTATGTTGCCCCTGGCAGAATGCTATGCCCGAGAGCACCACCTACCAGAGGGCGGACGGTCTGCCCCCGGGTCGTGGTTCCTCATCTTACACCGTCCCGTGCCTTCAGGGAGATAGAGAAATAGAGTGGTCCTTTTTCTGCTTCAATAAGTCCGGGGATTTTGATGATCATGAAGGAACTGCTATTTTTTTAGGTGTGATAGTTAAGTGATGCTTTTTAAAGTCCATGTCAATAAGAAATGCATGCTGCCCTATGTATAGACTGAAACCACGACATCTGGAACTCAGCCTCGGTATGATGAGCGGGGAGAGAGGTGGGAGGAGTAAGAATAAAACAAGACAATTAAACTCGATAGTGGAAACAATTGGCACATGATATCCTTGGCTATTTCTATATGTTTGGGAGTTTCCGTAACGAGCGGTTTAGCAAGAACAGAACAAACGGCTGGGCCGGGGCCTCTGGTGTCATCTCCTGCCATGCGCGCCCCAGGCTCCAGTGGCACAGAATCTCAGTCCTTTTGAAACTCTGGTTTGCTCCGGGCCCTTCTCCTATGACTCCTCCTTCCCCGCGTACCTTTCCCCCACGGAGTCCTCACCCCTGAGCCCACAGCACCGTGCGCAGATGGCTCCTCCTTTCCGAGGTCCCCTCTCCAGTGCAAGCCAGTGGATAGGCCGCTTTTTCCCAGCCCTGCCCACATGACCACGTTCACTACTGATGCCTCGGTCCCTGCTAGACTGAAACCAGGGGCATTACTTTATTAGTCCATCTGTACTGTTCCATGAGCACTGAATGCATGCAGTAAGTGAAAGAATGCTGAATGAATGTATCCCATCGTCCAAGCTGCTGCTGACGTCATTGTCCTAGTAACAGCTGACAGTGATGAAGGTTTTTAAGGTAGGGACCAAGTAAAGATGAACTGATAGGCATCTACAGCTGTTTGTTAGATATTGATATCATCGCGGTACACTGCATGAAAAGTAGTTTGCACAGAAAATAGTAATATCAAGTGGTACAGGTCACACCTTACGTAAATCACAGATTACAGTCTGTTTTACTTGGCAGTTGGGCTTTTAAGTGTTTTATTTTACAAGTGAGCAAGCTTTCTGATGGATTTTTCCCCCCTTTCATCCCTAGCCGGAGCCCGTTGAAAAGTATTCTGGAAATCAGAGCAATTGGTGAAACTTTGAAGATTTCAGTTTTTCAAATTTAGCCAAGGCAGTGAACATATATTTTTATCAACACCAAAAATATTGTTTTACATTATTTTTAAATGTAGTAACCAGTTTTTCTTTTTCTTGTAAACTCTCAGTTCTTTTTCAAATGCTAATTGGCTGATGTTCCATGATGTCTCCTGTCTTATGAATGTGTTTAGGCCTCAGGAAATCAATAGAGAAGAGCTAGAGGGATCCAGCATGCGGTGTGGAAGAAAGCTCACCAAAGATGGAGAAGTAAGTGTGGGTCGTGGCTTCTAATGTTCTCGGATAACTTGTCGCGTGGGCTGCACGTGATGTACTTTCATGAACTGTCAGGACACCCGCCACACCTCTACGTCACGCTCCGTGCAAGGAGTTAGGGCCACCACTCTCTCTGCTCAGTGGTGATAGATGATTTAACCGTAACTGAACTTAAATTTGGGGTCTAAATAGGAATATGAGTAAAGAATCCCTCAGAGATCCAGAAATTACTATAAAGAAGTTGTATCCTTTCTAAAGTGACTCTATTTTGTCATTATCCTAAATCAAGGTCCTTCAAACCTTTTGTTTTCTAGCCACTGTAAGAATGATAGTTGTTATCAATTATCAAGGGTTCAGGGAGGAGAGGGCATGGGCAGGGAGGGGGGAAATGAGGAGCTGATGCCAGGGGCTCAAGTGGAAAGTGAATGTTTTGAGAATGATGATGGCAACAAATGTACAAATGTGCTTGACACGATGGATGTATGGATTGTGATAAGAGTTGTATGAGCCCCCAGTAAAATGATTTTTTTT